AGAGTTTCGCTGGGACCTCGGGCTATGACAATAGCGCCCGGCTGCCGTTATCCAGATGGTGGCGGCGGATTGGAAGCATAAATCTGAACGTTACGGCCACCCATCCTGTCGAGGGGCTTCCGTTGCGCGCACAGTGCTGGTGGGAGAGGGCCGCACCGAGCCCAGTCTGCGGGTTCCTCGCTGGGACGGAAAACAGCGGTGACGAAATCTCCCCTCAGACAACGTACGTCTTTGCCTGTTCGTCTGTGGAAACGTGTCGCTGAGGGAGGACGGGGGGGGGGGTGGCCGCAAAGAGACCCCTCGTCGCAAGCCACCGTCCCCGCGGCAGACGTGGAAAGTGTTCCCTGGAGTTAAAAAGGGAAATAAAATACCATGACCGTGCTAACCTGTTGGCCAGGGGGTGAACCTCCGCTCCTTGGCTGGTTTACAGTCCAGGTGTGTCTCCTTCTGTACACACATTGGCACATTTGCAAGCTGGGTGCCTCTCTTAGGAATGGGGTGTGATGTATCTGCCAGGCAGGTTACACGGAGCTTGCTCAATCGTTATTACGCCAGGCGGAAATGCTTCTGATCCCTCTCAATCATGCCACCGGGTAGAGAACTAAACGGTTAAATTACACGTAAAATATGCGTGTTATTCTGCAAATGTAACAACTAGGCACGAAAGGAAGGAAATTCAGGGGCACTGGAGTGCCTGGCGTGTTTTCTGAGTCACCTCTCTGATATTTCAGCGGACACTGTCCACATTACATCAGGGCTATTTCTGAGAAACCTGAGATGCATCGGAGGCCAAATTCTTTTCTAAATCCACATGCTCTGGATTTTCTGAGACCGTTCAGCCCGCATAATCTCTGGTTTAGTGAAAGATATGCAAAAGCTCTGATCATTTTTCCTCAGTGAACACAGAGAAGCTTGACACGCTTGAAGTGACGGTATGTTTCCTGTGGTTACATGGATTTCCTCACCACCCATATTAAACTCAAGTATGACAGGCAGATGCAAATTTCTAAAGACCAGCAGTCTTGGTGCTACAGATCTACAGTACTTCCTGTAAAGGTTTGAGGAGGAAGGCATGACAGTGCGCAGTCCTGACTACTGTGCTGCCTTCGTTCTCAGTAGGCAAAGATGCGGCAAACTCAGTTTAACAGAGGCAACCCTTTAGTGTAGCACAGGTTGTCAGATTGCCTTTGTCATCATTCTCAGCCTGATTAACCTAAAAATAAATCCAGGGGTTTTCAGAATATTTATTTAATATCTTTAAGGACCTCCTAGGTACATGCTTAAGCCCTACAATTGAGTACACAGAAGAGGCTGATAAGTCGGCTCCTGTTTCCAGTTGAGATGTTGCTCAACTCCCTTCAGGGGCCAATTTGGGGCTTCAGAAATAACTGTCCCTCGATTGCTGGGGGATTGTCAGCTGTTTTAACCTGTTACCTGGAACAGAAGCAGCGTCAGGGAAAAACATTGACCTTTACCAGAGAAATTTAGATCTTTAGAAGGAGATAAAGCATGACAAATGTCTCCAAGTTCCACTCCTTTAAAACCTATTTTTAATAGTGCACATCAGTAGAAGAGGATAACTTCTACAGGAACAGTACACTGTTGTATTATGGTGTATGGAAGGCATGTTAAGGACACCCGGCTTTGTTTTCCTCTGTCCCACCAAGCAACAGCAGGAAAACATCCACTGATCATTCTCCCGGCTCTGGAAACAAAGCCCTTGGTGCAACAGTCTAAGGGCCTGGGCCTGTTTGGCTTGCAAAAGAAAAGACCCAGAGGGGCAATGGGATTCGCATCTGCCAACCTCTAAAAGGTTGCCAGGTGCTGCAGGGGCAGCTCTGTTTTCTGTTACACAGGAACCAAGGGCTTGGAACCTGAGACAGGAGATTCAGGTGAAAGATGGGAACTGCAAGAGCTGTTACATCATGGGACCAGCCGCCTTGGGCAGGGATGGCATTCTCCTCGCCTGATTTTTTCCAGTGGGGGCTGGATGGTTATATTGCAGTTAGAAAATCAGTCAATAAATTTTGATTATTAATTTTAATGTGGCTTTTTTTAAAAAAATTAAAACCTGGTGAGATGATCCAATATATCAATTCTCTTCTTGTTGCTAGATGGCATAATGCCAGATACAATTTTTTTGCTACCATAAAAATGCTTTATTGTGGCCAAATGCTAGAAACATCTCTCACTGGATCAGTGATATTTAAAAATGTGTGGAAAATAGCTTTGGCAGAAAAAATAGTAGCTTCGTTGCAAGTCTCAACAAATCTTTTACTTAAGGTGTATTTTATACAAATTTGGTTTCTAATTTTTAGGTGTTATCAGCAAATCAGTTCCTAATAGAGTATCCTCATTTATTGAACTGTTGCTGAGCACTGAGTGCAGTTTTAGGGTTAGCTATGGATGCCCAACAATCTGCCACTGAGCCCACATTTTGCTAGTTTGCTCACGGGCAGAACAACCGCAAAGAAATCATGTTCAGTTCGGCATGGTGTAACTCGATTGAATTTCTAGCATAATAGTATAATGTTCTGCATCCCCAAGGAGTTTTTGGTGGGTTTGGTTCATAAATTTTCCAGAGATTCAGCACATCCTTATAAAAAGAAAAATAAAAGAAAGAAAATAATAATGTTAACTCATCTAGCTTAATGAGAATGTCAAACATGTTGTATGTTTACTTTTTAGGCAGTTCTTGTTTGGTGCTTCAGCAGCTATTTATAGGAATGATTACAAAAAGAGTATCGTGAAGAACCTCAATGCAAGAATCTTATACGTTCTTTATTCTTTAGCTGTTCAGCTTGTGGGCTGTATTTGAGACTAAAGAAATGGCAACTTCATGAAAATCTGTGAAGATGGACAGACAGAACAGGGGTGTTGCTGATCCTCAGCTACAGGAAGATCCAGAAGGCAGCAAAATAGAAGGAGATAACTCAGGAGCACAGTTGGATGTGTTGGCCAAAGCACACGAGTTCTTTCAGATCTGTGATGTAGAAGGGAAAGGGTTTATCGCTCGTCATGACATGCAGGTAAACTGCAAAATGTGGATTTATAAGTATTCATTCATTGTCAAGGAATCTTTGTCCTGTTTGAAGTTGCAGCTGTGAGCAGGCAAGAATGAATAGCACATTCATTCTCACAGCCTTATTACTCGGCTGTAAATTAGTTCAACACAAATTGAGTAAACAGAGATAACCCACATGCTGAGGGATGTAAATCTGGCAGAAAGCCTAATAAGAAAGTATTTGCTTTTGTACTGTAGCAGAGAATCCCAGTAAGCTGGTCTATAGTGATGGCTGAGGAGGGAATTCTAGGGCCATTAGACATTGATTAAAGGTCCTGGAACAGTGGAACTCATGGGAACCAGTCCAAGATTGGAAGCCGGTGGTCAGTCCATCGGGTAAGGAGCCAGAAGAGCTAGGAATATGGAAGGAAGCAGGTCAGGAAGCAGGAAGGCTGTTTCCAGGGAAGAGATACTCCAGCCATGAATCATTGGTGGAATTGATGCCTTTCCTCTGGAGGAGCCGCACTGACCTCTGCTTAGCTCTAGGGGCAGAGACTTGCCCGTGGTTTGGATCCAGCTCCCTATTATCAGAACCCGCACACCTGTTCCAGATCTTTCTTACTGACCTCTGGACTTGCCTTAGGTGTCTGATAGCCCACTGGCCCTCCAAATGTAGGATGGCAAATCATCAGGTCCTTCTCTCCAGTTGCAGAAGTTATAACACTGCCTGAGGCAATTGGTGTACTTTAGATGTTTTTAAAAAGCACAACTAACCATCACAGTATGTGAAATCTCCATTTTATTTTGCGGTTTGCTTATTTTATTTTGCCTGCTTCTCTTAATTAATGTTTGTCCAAAGCAGGAGCCTCCACATTTGCTTCACGGTTTCATTTTGAGCACAGCATTGTTGGGAACTCTCTTTTCATGTATTATTAGCTCTCTGTCCAGTATTGGATCCTGTCTGGGGACAGGCTTACTTATTCTGATGGCCGACCTACTAGGGCAATGTATTCAGGTTCTGCCGGCCCTTTCAATACTATTGGCAGTATCTTTCTGGATAGGCTTACGGGGCTAGAACTTGGGGCACGGCTCCTCTTTCTTCAGAAAGACTGGTCTCAGAAGTAGTGTTTGGGAATCTGCAATTTGAACTTTTAGACAATGTTCTGTGGGAGCCTCTGGGTTCTGTTTTACCTCCCATGCTATTTAATATTTATTTGAAATTGCTAGGAGAAGTCATCTGGAATTTTGGAATGTGGTGTCAGCAATATATGGATGATGCCCAACTATCACTCAATTACATGTCATACAAAGACATAGGTGAAGTTCTGAACCATTGCCTGGAGACAATAATCCATGTAGACTAACTAGTTGAAGCTGAATTCAGAGAAGATGGAGTGTTTTTTGTTAGTTCTGGGAATTGACTCTCAAGTTGTCTTGAAGTATATAGTGCTTTTCTTGAAAGCACAGGCTTGTAGTTTGTGGATTCTAGGTCCAAGGTGGACAGTACCTTACCTGTGGGCCATATAAACCCTCTTTTTGCACCCCTGGGAACCCCCCAGATAAGGCCAATGAAATGTGGCAGCAAAATTCACTTTTTTTTAATCAGAGAGAGAAGAAAAGTGTTTATGTTGTTAAAAGTAGAGTTCCAGATGCTAGATTTTGTACTGCATTCAAAAAAATGATGCATGATGTTGAAGGATGCTGGGGGATCAATGAGAAGGAGAACAGATCTGCAATGTATCTTAGGTTCATTTATTCATATTCTTTCCACCCCTCAGTGGAGAAGCATGGATATAGAACTTCAGCATTGTACCTGGAAGGACTGTCATATGATGAAGCTTAGGATAAATGTTCTTTATAGAACAAATGTTTAGGATCCACCAAGTTAGGTCTCTGTTAGCCAAAGGATAAATCAACATGATAGGAATGTGAAGCTCAATCCTTGTTAAAAAGAGGATAATACCCAAATGAGTACAAATCAGCCTTTAAAGGGTAGAGTGGGAGGAATGATTTCTCATGGTATCTACAATATTTTATGTCACTGATGGCTATTTAATAAAGACATTGCATTGGTTCCAAATTTCTCTGGTACCTTTCTAACCCAGACTGAATCCAGACATTGTAAGACACAGGTTGAAATCCTCATGAGTCAATGAGACTTATTTCTTATTAGATAGTTGTAATTCCCCTGGGTAAAAAGAAAAGGAATCTCCTAGTCATCTAAATTATTTGTCTTTTTTCAGGATCTTTTTAAAATTAACCTTCTTAATTTATACATAACATCTATATAATTGAGGAAAACATTGTCATTTTAGAGGCTCCATGGTGAGTTACCTCTTGTCCCAGAAGAGCTGGAGAAAGTATTTAACACTCTGGATACAGATGGCAATGGTTCTCTTACTCTAGAAGAATTCATCACGGGATTCAGTGAGTTTTAAGTGCACATAGTGCTTTAGAAGTATTTCAGCTAACCATCAATTCCTACTCAAGTGGTTCTTTTATGTATTCATCTACAGGTAGTCCTCAAATTACCACCATTCATTTAACAACCATTCAAAGTTACAATGGTGCTGAAAGAAGTGACTTATGACTGGTCCTTGCACTTATGACCATTGCAGCGTCCCCATGGTCATGTGATCAAAATTTGGGCTCTTGGCAACTGACATGTATTTACAATGGTTGCAGCATCCCGGGTCACATGATCACTATTTGCAACCTTCCCAGGGGGCTTCCGACAAGCAAAGGCAATGAGGGCAGCCAGATTCGCTTAACGACCATATGATTCACTTAAAGACTGCAGTGATTCACTTAATGAACACGGCAAAAAAGGTCGTAAAATCAGGCACAACTCACTTAATGACCACATTGCTTAGTGGCGGAAGTTCCAGTCCTAATTGTGGTTGTAGGTCAAGGACTACCTGTATATTATTTGATTTCTCATCACTCAATAGCATAACTTGATCTAGAGAAAGGCCAGTGGAATCCTTTGATTGGGACATTCCTTTCTTTGGGCTGTAGCTCCATCTGGCATCCCTTGCAATGCCAGTCACATTTTCCTGAGGGGGGGGAGGTATTCACTATTCTGAGGCTTGACAACTCCATGTGCTGATATTGTGATGATACATTACAGATTCTAATTACATTTCAATAAATAAAATAAAAAGATTTCCCTATTTCACCTCCCAGCAAAATTTCCTGAAGTTATTACAGAAATCATTTATGCTTATTTACTGACTTACATATTACTGCATTCTATCTTTATTATGCAACCGCTTATCTTTGTTTTGTTCTCTACACATCAGATAAGATCTGGTTGAATATACCCTTTACTAATCATTTATATTATAATTATTTATATTATATTTATATCATTTATATTTTGGCCTACAGTAGTCCTTGGTTAACAATGGTAATTGGGATTGAAATTTCCATCACTAAGCAATCTGGTTATAAAGCGTGACATCACGTGACTGTATCCCAGCACTCCCTGTTGTTGTCCTTATCTGAATCCCACTGGTCATTAGGCAAGGACTCGCCCTGATCCAAGCCAATCCTGGCTTGGCCCCTCCCAGCCCCGAGTGCCTCCTCTGCCTCCTCTTCAACTCCCCCATCTATCTCCCCCCTCACCTCTGCCCTTTTGGCTGTCCTGCACAGTGGCACTCCTCAGTGGCAGCGCCAGTGGCGCTGAAATAGTGGCGTGGGGCCGGCAGCAGTCTAACCCAGCCACTGCCGCCAAGGAGTGCCACTGTGCAGGACAGCCAAAAGGGCAGAGGTGAGGGGGGAGATAGATGGGGGAGGTGA